ACCCCCTGCAGTATCCTATGGGTCCAAGCAACGGTGTGTACCCAGGAGCCTATTACCCTGGCTACCCCGGCCAGGCAGGGCAGTACATGTGCGGCCCACTCCCTCCGACTCCTCTGAGTCCTGAGATGGAGCAGCAGATGCGGAACATGCAGCAGCAGGAGCTCAGCAAACTCCTCCGTGAGGCTGGGAACCAGGAGCAGCAGCTCAGCAATCTGCTTTCCAGAGACCGCATCAGCCCAGAGGGGCTGGAGAAGATGGCCCAGCTGAGGTTTGTGGCTGTGCTGTAGAGGGGTGTGCAACCGAGTCGTTTCCAGGGTGAACTGCTACCAGAAGCGTTACCCAGAGAATGGTGCTCCTTGGGGATCTGGTAGACTGGAGACATCAATGTCTCGGAGACCGGGAGATGAGGCAGTGGCTCGCTAGCTTTTGATGTGCTGGGACTGTTTGTCATGTGCCAGTGGTGTGTGGGTATCAGAAGAAAGCTGTGGGCAAATATATCATTTGCCTGGGCTGGGAGCTAAGCCATGGCTTCTTGTGGTTGCAGAATGCCTTGCCTGCCTTGCAGGGACACGAGGGAGCAGGACGAGCACCCACTGCGGCTCTTGCGTTATTCTTGCTCTTGCTGGAGCTGGTCTCTCTCAGTTCCAGCGCTCTCACATGCTTTTAGTATTTGTTGGTGGACTTCTGCTTCCTTACCTGTCCTCAGTTATCTGCTGTCTGATTTGCGTTGTGGGTTTCAGGGGCGGTGACTGTCGGCTTGCGCTTGCGAAGCGTTGCGTGGGCTCCTGATGCTATGTAACAGTGACAGCACCTTTCAAGTGCTGCGTAGTTTTGCTCTTGACACCACTCAACCCTGTGACATATGGTGGTCCAGTGGGAGTAGCCTGGCGATGTCAGCTTGTGAGAGGGAAGTGACACTGGTGCTCTGGAGGGTAGTTAACGTGGCTGTAGCAAGTTTTTACTTGGCATCTTTCATGTTTACTTGTGACCTCTCTGTCTCTGGGACTTCCCTGGAGACTTGTTTTCAGAGCTGACTGGCAGCAAATCTAGCAGGTGAGCTCATTTCAGGGCTTGTTCTGTGTTTTGGGGACTTGCACTATAGACCACAGAGTAGGATATGTCTGCACTTGAAGCAGTACTGGAGGTTTCAGGTCTTTCTCAAGGTGTCAGGGTCACCTAGAGCTGTTGTCTGGAGGGAGAGGAAAGACTGCGCAGTGCTGCTGTGGCCCGTGTGAAGCCCACCGTGCCCTGGGAGCGTAGGCATGGTTGGCCCCATCCCTGCTGTCAGCATCCATCCGCCTTGATGTGTCTCCTGCCTGTGTCTAAGTGCATGCTGCCAGCCTGTCTGCGGAGCTCTGTTGGGGCTCTTGGGTGCAAGTGCTGCTTATCAGATCTTAATTCTCTTGGCCGGTGTTTGTGCTGTCCAAGCGCACGTGTGTGTGTGCAGGGTTTGGGGACTGCACGGGGTAAGGCAGCAGAACCGTGCTCTGCGCTTTGCACAGGAACCTGCCAGCATCCTTCTCGTATTGTGTCAGGCTCTTCCAGGCATTGCTATCTGGCTTCGCTCCGGTCTTTACCATCTACGCTGTTGTACTGTCTCATAGAATCATAGAATTGTTTAGGTTGGAAAAGACCTTTAAGATCATCCAGTCCAACCATTAACCTACACTACCAAGTCCACACTAAACCAATCGAGGGTAGACTAGACTAAACCATGTCCCAAAGTGCCACATCTACCTGTTTTTTGAACGCTTCCAGGGATGGTGACTCCACCACCTCTCTGGGCAGCCTGTTCCAATGCTTGACTACCCTTTCCGTGAAGAAATTTTTCCTAATATCCAACCTAAACCTCCCCTGGTGCAGTTTGAGCCCATTTCCTCTCGTCCTATCGCTAACTACATGGGAGAAGAAATTCAGGGGAGGAATTCTGCTACAGCATCCAGGCAAGGCTGTAGGTAGCTGGTGAGGGGAATGTGATTTCTGGGACTCTGAGGCTTTATTTCCTTCAGGTGTGATGTTCCCAGCTCTCATTCATTTTTGAGGAAGCAAGGTCTCTGTTTCTGCTGTGTATTTTGGTTGGATGGAAAGGAGGTGAGGATCGGTTTAATGGCAAGACCTCTCCTGCCCCTCTGGTTCTTTGTGTGTTTGTTCCTGGCCCTTATCAGCCAGGCTGTGCTCAGAAAGAGCAGAGCCTGGCAGTGCACGCTTTCTCTGTGTTAGTATCAGGAGACACTCGTGTATTGCTGTTCCCAGTGGCAGAGCTGCAGCAGAGCTCCTTGCTCTTTGCCAGGCCCTGATCCGTTCTGATGCATACATACAAGGGAGATGGTCCTTTCAGATTTGCCCTCTTGGAGCAGGAAAGGTGTTTGACTGCAACAGCTCCCATTTCCCTCTGGGCCACGTGTGGAAGCATCGATTTGCCATAGTGTGTGAGCCGGCTGAACTGCTGACATCTCGTGCTCGCTGGATGAAAAGCAGCAGGTGGCTCAGCACAAGTTCCCAGGCAGCTCAGACCTGGGCTGGGCACTTGGTGTTGTATTGACCACTGATTGTGTTTCACTGTAGGTTGGAGATGCTGCAGCTGTACGAGCGGTGCATCCTGATGGATATCGAGTTCTCTGATACCCAAAACGTGGACCAGCTGCTGTGGAAGAACGCGTTTTACCAGGTGATTGAGAAATTCCGGCAGCTCCTCAAGGACCCTCAGGGAGAAAATGCCCAAGAAATTCGGAACAAACTGCTCCAGCTTCTAGATGAGGTAAGAAGAGAGAAACATCCCTAAACTCCACTAAACCTTTGGGTGGGATTGGCTGGTGTTTAGAATGGGATGGTGCAACTGGGCAACTAACCTTGATCCTGTCCATATCTCTGTGTGCCTTAAGCCATCCTTGTGCAAGGAGAATGCTCAGACAGATTATGGTTTAGTGTGGCAGGTGTAGGTCCAGGTGGACATTTGTTATAATTTAAACCAGGCTTGTTTTAGTGTGTTTTATATTAATTAGAAATTGATTTAAGCTAAAATGAAGCGAATGCCCTGAAGTGGAAATAAACAGAAGCATTCCTGGAGGTGTTTGTGCCATGTTTATCAAATTTGCTTAAAAGTCATTCCCTTAAACTGTGCAGCTCAGTTTACTCTTTGTAGAAGGTAGGCTGATAGATCAAGAGGATGTGCTTTATAGAATTAGGTTGGTGGGAAGGGAGTGCTGGAGGGCTTTAGTCCAACCTCCTGCTCAAAGCAGGACTCCTCAAACATTAGATCAGGTCAGTCTTGGTTTTGTCTAGCTCAGTCTTGAAAACCTCTGAGGTAGGAGATCCCCCGACCTCCTTGTTGTTTTTTGAAGAGAAACAGCCCAAACCTCAGGGAGAGGGACCTTCTTTCTTGCATGTGGCAAGGTTGTGGTGATTTTGTGCTTGTCATCAGAAAGATTGTAACATCCAAGTATGTGTGTGTTTGCAGGGCACTTCTTTTTTTGATGGCCTACTCCAGAAGCTGCAGGTGTCATACCAGTTCAAGCTAGAGGACTATATGGACGGGATGGCCATCCGCAGTAAGCCTCTGAGGAAAATGGTAGGTTGGCTTCCTCCTGGAAGATTCTCACCCTGTTAATCGTATGCAACATGCTGAACTCAATGCGCTGCCCTTGCCAAGAGGTAGGCAGCTGTACTCTGAACAGATGTCAGTATGTTTGCAGTGAATCTTTCTCAGCTGTTGGAGAACTTGTTGAACCAACTCTGGTGCATTAACATTTCTCAGCTTCCTTTGCAAAGAAGAGCTTCTTTTGTACCAGTCTGTGACCAGGGCTAATAAAGGGAAACAAGCGTCTAAAGGTACCCTGGCTTTGCATTATATATTGAACGTATCTTATTTCTCTCTGTGGAATCCAGAATAATGAACAAGGAAAGCTAACAGTTGTGCTGCCTCCCTGACACTTGACAGTGTATTGCCCTGAGCTGTGAATGCAGGTGTGAGGGACAGCTGGGAAAGGATATTTCAGTCCAGCTCCATTCCCAGAGAGATGTGTTTGTCTAACAGCTGTCCTCCTCAAGTTTGTCATGGACTGAACAACTCTTTTCTGGAGAGAGATGGGATGTTGTAAGAGGGGAGGTGTTTAGGGGATTGGCTTGCCCCTATAAATGCTGAACCAGTGCCATGGAGCCTTGTCATTTCATTCTGCTGCCCTTTTGTGAGACCTTTAGTGTGTCAGTGACCTCCTCTTTGCTCTCTACAGTCCCTGTGAGCTCACTGGGTCTGCAGGTGAGCCAGGGCTGTGCAGGTCCCACATGATGTACTGAATGCTTCTTTCCAGGTGAAGTACGCGCTGATCAGTGCTCAGAGGTGTATGATTTGTCAAGGGGATATTTGCCGATACAGAGAACAAGCAAATGACACCGCAAACTACGGAAAGGCACGCAGGTATCGTGTTCTTCTCTGTAGTGCTGAGCACAGCTCTTCTCTATCTACAAGGGATGTATCTCATTTCATGCTTAAACTTGCTTCTAGCCAAAGAAGTCTTTTCATGCCTTCTTATTGTATTGCAGTCCTGTGAAGCTGAAAGATGTAGCCTAGGCTTTTGGTATCTCAGAAGGCAAGCCAGCAGATCCAGTCTTCCTCCAGCTATCTAATGTGGAAGTTGTCCTGTGCTGATCCTGTGACAGGGAGGGTTTATGCTGTTGAGGCTGGCAGACTCGCTGTTGTATTTTCTGGTAGCTTTTCAGCTAGGAGAGCTTCCCATATGTGTCCATATGTTCTGACTGCATCAGGAGTTACTGACACTTGTCGCTTCCTGTCACTCTTTTTTTGCCTGGGATACAGTCCTTTTTTTTATCTTTTTTTTCTGGAGCAAGGACTGGTGGGGGGGGGCAAGTGAGCCCAGTATGGGGGATAGAGCCCTGAAATCTGTGGAGGTTTGGAGAACAGGGCAGGGAAAGTTACCCACTTTGGGGCCTGTGAACATCATGGAGTATACCAGTATCTCAGGGAGGCTGAAGGGAACATAGTGGGTTCACGATGTGTCTCAACAGTGTTGATGGATCCATGTGGCATGATAGAAGCTGGAGAGTGGATAACAGAATTGAGGGGAAAATGGAGAGGAGGATAGAGGGATGAATGAACTGCCACTGAACGGATGCCTCTTCTCTTGGGATGACTAAGTATCTTGAAAATATGGGGAATGAGCTAAGGAACATGGAGGGTTTGGTCCCAGCTGCCATGGAGCTAAAAAGGGGACTGAGAGAGAAATGTTCCCTGAATAGCCTGTTGTCTGTGCCTGAGGCTGCATGGGGGACAGCGCTTGCTGGGTCTAAATGCTCATCTTCAGGCTGAGCCAAGAACGTTTCCTCCTGCAGCTCTTTCTGCCCCTCTCTCTTGCCCTGTGCCACCCCCAGGCCGGGTGCAGGCTCACTGCCTGTGCACGCTCTTGCAGGCAGAGGGCACTTGTGCAAAGGGCCTGTTCCCTGCGGGACTGCCAGCGCTGCAAGCAGAATTCTGTGCCCTTCAGAACAAGGAAGGTAACCTGATGTCCTTTCAGTAACTCTTTCTTCTCTGGTTCTTCCCTTCCTCAGCTGGTACCTGAAGGCTCAGCAAATTGCTCCCAAAAACGGCCGCCCGTACAATCAGCTGGCGCTCCTGGCCATCTACACGGTAAGAGAGTCATCACGCAAGGATGTAGCAAGCATAGGGAGAGCCTCTGGGATGGCTATGAGATTCCACCTGGTGGAGAAAGGCATTGTTTAGGGCAGTGCTTCCAGATGTTTTTTTTTTTTAAAAAAAGAAAAAAACTGATGGCAGGATGTGCTGTGTGGATTCCAGCTGCTGTGGCTTCAGACAGCTTTGTTAGATATGTGCTACTCCCTCAGGCTATCAGCATTTTGGGGACTGTTCTGCGGGCTGTGGAGAGTGCAAATGTTTTAAAAGTAGGTTGTGTTTAAAGTTTTGCGTGAGACTTTTGTGCTCAAGGCCATGCTGTCATGAGGATGCTGTCTGTTTGCCGTGTCTTCATTGAACCTGTGGGCACTGGTCTAAGTGACATCCACACGCGACTTTCTTAGGTTTCAGTTTTGCTGGCTACTCCAGCCATGCGGGAAAACTTACTTCAAGGAAGATGTGATGGCAGATAATGGAAGCATCAGGCTGGGACACAGGAGCTGGTAGGAATCTGCCCGTTCGCAACACGGAAAGATGCTGATTTAAAGCAGAGCAGTTCAGAAGCGTGTTTACTTCGTGGCTGGGAGTGACCTTTTTGACTCCCTGTGTGGGGCTTGGAGCAGCAAAGTGTCCCACCCTCTGTGGTGGTTTGTAAGGCCAGCAGCATGTGGGCGAAACCCTAAATGGCTGTCTGTCTTGGTAGCATAAAGACTTGGGGGGTGCCTTCTCACGGTATTCCCTGTGGCCAGCCTGTGGGAGAAAAGATGCTGAGAAGTTGCTCGAGTGTGAGGGGATTAGAATTGTTAGCCCAGCGGCACGCTGAGATGAGAGGGGCATCCTGTCCTACCACTGGCAGGAGTCTGGCAAACCCTCCAGTCTTCCTGGACCTCTGCTCTTTGTGAAATTCATGTGGAGTCGTTTCCATATTCATGGTAATGTTGAAAAGGGTTATCTCCTGAACTGTCAGAGGAGTTCAGTGTTTATACTGTTGTCCTTTACCATGATGTCTGCTGAGAGACTCTTTTCTGTGAGCCTCTGGGTTGATGGTTTCTGTAGCGGCCTTGGGGCTGAAGCAAGTGAGTCTGCAGGTTGCGGTGTCACCTGCACTCCCTAAACCTGGCAAAGGGCTTGTGCTTTGTGCTGGTGGTTGTCGGTAGCTGTGAACGTAGATGGAGAGTTCAAGGTCCTGCTTGTCGTACCGTTTGTCAGCATGTCTGTCTGTCCTAGGCAGTATAGAGGGAGAGGGCGTATGTATTGAGGGACAGGGAAGGCCAAGTATGTGGGAGCTTGGCTCCGAATGCCCCAGAACAAGTGGCAGCTCTGAGTCTGGTTGTGTTTTTGCAGAGGAGAAAGCTGGATGCTGTCTACTATTATATGCGCAGTCTGGCTGCTAGCAACCCCATCCTCACAGCCAAGGAGAGCCTCATGAGTCTGTTTGAAGAGACAAAACGCAAGGTGAGTCTTGGAGCTGGGCTGTGGGATGGTGCAGCTGCCCATACTGTCTCTTCTGTACCGGAGAGCTGTGATCCAGAGAGGAAGGTGATGGTGGCTTTTGGACTTGGAGTCACCACTTATCTACTTCTGAGAAATTCCTTGTTGGGAGTCAGATGAGAGACAGTCTTCAGAATTAGTGTCCTTTCTGTCTCTCCTCAGACTCCTTTTGGCATTGTCTGGGCAGCCGAATTTCCTGTTTCTGGGTCACAAACTGTAAAACAGCTAAGCTCAATGAGGGCTGTAGGTTGCTGTGGTTTGCAGCATGGCCTTGGCACGTGGCATGATCATTGCCTTATCCCAGAGGTGCCTCACAGGGGTGGACAAGAGAGGCTGCAGTCCCTTTGTGTCCCAGAGGGTCCCCCCAAATCAAAGATACAGCATGCTGACTGCCACACGCTGCTAGGACTGGATGCAGCCTTTCTTGTCCCAGGACAGCTGGAGTTGAAAACCTCTCACCTGTGCTGTCCTATAGTGTCAGAAACCAAATTCTGGACCTGTCAATGAGTTACTGTGGTTCTGAAGCAGGGGAAAGAGCTAATTTCTCCATGTAAATGAAACGATATACTTTTCCTGAACTTTGATCCCTGGGTGGTCTGAATCTGTCCTGTCTGCCCAGGCTGAGCAGATGGAGCAGAGGAAACATCAGGTGCTGGATCTGAGCCCCAGCCGCCGGGGGAAGGGCAAGAAGTCCACATTGCGACAAGTTGGAGATGATGCCACGCGGCTGGAGATCTGGATCCATCCTTCCCACCCCCGCTCCTCCCAGGGCCACGAGTCCGGCAGGGATTCTGAGCAGGACAACGGTCTTGGGAACCTCAGCCCCAGCGACGTGAGTACTGCAGGAGGCAGCAGTTGGCTTTGGTGTCATGTGTTTGGAATGCAGTGGAATGACACTGGATCTGTTTTGCTTTCCTGTTGCTAAATTTTCCAGGGTTTTGGCTTCCCCTATGGGAACTGTGCCTGGGTCAGGCTGAGGAGCTGGTGACCTCGTGCCTCTCGTGTTTAAGGCATGTTGTTACCATCCATTTCTTGGCGGCATGTGCTGGTGTGGCTGATATGGAATAGGAGAGGCACAAACAGAAGATGCTGTAAAATGCCTCTGCTGAGCGCTCTAACTTGGGTGAGGTTGCCGGTGGGAAATGAGGTCAGATGCTGAATACCAGGGTTAACATTGACTCTGTAAGCTCTGAGGCTTGTTCTGGAAGTGGGTCACTTGTCCCAGTGCCAGATGATTGGAGGTTTGCACTGTGAATGTGAAAACTGTGGTTTTAATTTCCAGTGTAGGTGTCATATTTGCATTACTTGCCCTGCCGAGAGGCCAGACCGGTGCCTTTCTTTTGCAAGGATAAAAAAATAATTGACTAACGATATCTCTCATGAGTCTGTTCGAGCTCTGTACCTTGCAAGAGGAGCCCGAGTGAACTCTATTTGTCAGGCACAGGAATGCAGGCGAAGGCAGTGGTGGTTGGGAGCTCATCCTCTAGGAATCCTTGCGCCGCTTTGGCACATGCGGCTTGCAAGAGAACTTGCCAGGGAGCTCTGGGCTGCCTGTCCTAAAATGGCTGTTAAGGATGTGAGTTGAGCAGGACTGGGAAGACCTTCTCCGCATACTGCGGGGCCCAGAGCTTCTCAGATACGATTGCACTTTTATAAGTAGTTTGTGACTTCAGCTGGGTGGAACTGGGGTGAAGTCTTGGAGCTTTGAAAGATAAGCTCTGGCACATAGCTGCAGCGTTTTTATAGACGTTTCTGCCCTTGGTTGTTTTCCCTCTCCTCGGCTTCTCTTCTGGAGACCTTGCTTCCTCAGCATCATTGAAAGGAACGTGCCAAGCTTTAGCTTCTCCATAAATCATTGATAAAGATGCTTTGACATAAGATGCTGTGAGTGGTTTTGAGGCACTGGGAGTTTCTCTTTTGCAGCGCTCCCATGTGAGGTAGTGTAACTGCTAGCAAAGTGGGGGGCAGCGATGTCTTCTTGTTTCGAGCGCAGCGCTGTTTGCTAGAGCTTGCCCTTGGTCTGTTCAATGGGGGGCTGCGCTCTCTGAAGTGCGGGTTGCTGGCAATGCCTGTACAGATTGTGTTTCTGATAACTGCCATTAGTCTTGATTTCTTCATCTGTTTGAAATGTTGGCTCGTGGAAAGCTTTCCTCACTAATACTGAGGCTGCATGATCAGAAATACAATGGCAAAAGGGCAGGGGGAGCTGAGGGCACAGGTTCGGGCACTGCTGGTTTTGGCAGCCAAGGTATTTGTACTCGGGTTGCCTGTGCCTGCTGCGGTGCAGCACTCCACTTGCGTTGACACAACTGCTTACGGGGCTGCGCTGTGGCCGTGTCGCCAAACTGATCTGGATTAAAAACAACCGCGTGAAAAGGAAACCTTAAATCTGCGTCGCTGCCAAAGACACCATGCTGTGAAGCTGCAGGCTGGATAAAGACAGCAGCTCTTCGGGAAGCTCTGGTCTCCTTGCTCCTTGAAGCTGTAGCCTGTTACCTTCTTCCTCACTGCATCTCTGGGTGGTTTGCAGCTCCTTCCGCGGCGAGGAGCGGAGCCGTCGGTGCGTTGCCACTGTGTGGCACTGTTTGGCCTCGGAAGGGCCCTGCCTGCGCCAGGGGCAGGCGGCAGCCCTCATCCTGGCAGCACCTCTGCCCCACATCCCCAGGCCGGATGGAAGGGAACAGCTCTTCTCCCAGGGGATGTGTGCCAGTGCTTACGTGTCATTTGGGGGAAATGAGTCTAAACTGTGTCATTGCCTCCTCAGTCCCTTCCTTGCCAGCTTTAGCCCTTGAAAAGGCTGAGGCAAGCCATGTTCTTTCATTTGTACTGACAGCTGTGCTCTGCAGGTAACTTCTCGGGCATCAGCCTTTATACCAGCTGTTTCTGGGCCAGAGAAGGGAATTTTACAGGGTAGAATAGGAAAGCGTTCAGCTTCCGGAAGCAGATGTAATACTGCAAGTATAGACCCTAACAGCTCTGGACATGTACAGGGCAGAGGCATGGGAGAGATGCTCCCTCTGCCTTTCAAACAGAGGTGGTTGCTTCAAACCCAGCCCAAGCCAAAGGTGACTGGTGTTTTTACTGTGGAGATACTGGCTGTTTCGCGGGTGACAAGAAATTGATTTGGGATGTTTTCTGTCCTCAGTCGTCGCTTTCTTCATTGTGCAGGTGGTTAGGTGCCAGTCCTATGTCGTGGCATGCTTGGCAGGGAGATGCTGAACGATTACTCTCCGAGGACCTGCTGATGTGCACGCTGTCCCCGTCAGTGAGCAGAGAGTCTGCTCACCACGTGCTTGCGCGTCTCGTCTCAGTGCTGACTTTATTTTTCCTTCTACAGCCCTAAACAAAGACACAAACATCATTACTTTATTTCCGGGTTAGGAGCCAACTGAATGGAGTTAGTAAAGTGTGATGGCAAGTCTGCAGAAGGCGAGCTCACACTGCAGCCGTTGCTGTGACAAGAAGAGGTGGTGTGCAGTGCTGGCAATTTGCCTTGGCACTGTGCGTTTAGGTAGAGGTTTGGCATAGCTGCTTCTTTCACAGTTTGCTGTATCATGTTTTCTAGGAAGACGCAGAACTGGAAGAACGTACCATCTGCCCACACCAAGGGGCATGCATCTCCGTTTGGCCCCTTCCTCAGTAACTGGATTTGGCACTGCTGGCACAGAGGGCATGGGACAGTTTCAAAGCGGGCTGAAGAAGTATTTGGGTTGCAACCTGGCTGTTTTGTGCGTAGGGTTTTGTCCGTTATGCCTGCAGCCTTTTTGGGTTTCATTCTGTGAATGGCTGTTCTCTGTGGTCTCTTAAATGTTGCATGTTTCTAGGTGTGCAGTGGCAGGAAAGTCTAGGCTGACGCAGTGCCCTGCTTGCCTGACAGTATGGGGTCACTTTGTGTGGGATTCCAATAAGAAATGCGAAAAAGGAGGCTGAACCAATGAGCAGCTGTATTGCTTTTTTTAAAAACAGCTGGATAGGGCAAAGTGAACTGAAGAGCTGAATCTCTGCCATTTCTTCTCCATCATTGGCTTAATTTGCCGTAGGTTGGTATTGATCTTAAATCTGATAGTACAGTATGCAACTTACTGCGCAGACTGTGAATTGGTAAAGTAAACAGGGAAAACGTGCTGTCAGTGTCTTGAGAAAGTGCTAATATTACACTGAGTTTGAGATTTTAATCACCTCTGTCAGGAAATGCTGAGTTAAGGTTCCCACAGTTGCTATTGCCTGCTGCCTGTGCTCTGCAGTAGATGCTTCCTTGTGTTATCATGCAACATGCATGCACTAATAAAGATTACTCCATAGCTGCAGCTAAGATTAGGGAAGAGAGGTTTTCCCTTGGCACAACAGTAATTGAACAATACTTCTCTCCAGATGTCTGAATACTTTAGCATCATTAAAGAATTAAGTCTCCTAGCCTTTTTATGAGAGGTCAATCTTGTAGAGCCATGAAAAGTTTGGTAGGGCCACCCAAAAAGCTCTTAGGAAAGCTAAGGCCAGAGTCAAGATCTGCTGTCTCAGCCCTGTGCGCTGGCTGCAGGAACCTTCCCGTTTCCCCTCAGCCTGCGGATTAGGGACAGAGTTGTTGCATTTGCTTGGTGCTGGGTGCCCATGGAGCAACAACCCCTTTGCAAGAGCAGAGAAATTGTGGTGGAATCATTAGCTCTGAAGTTCAGAGTAGGTTGTAACCTCTGTTTCTTTACACAGGCTTTCTTCTCAGCAGCAGGGAGTATGGACAGTGCATCAGGGTTTCCACAAGTGAGCAGTAAATACCACCAGGAGGTCTACAAAAAAAAAAAAAAAAGAACAGAATTCTCTCAATAGGCTGAATATAGAGGGTTTCTTACTTTTGTGTTTCTTCTTTATTGCCTACTGTGCTCTTCTTTAGAAGCTTATTATACGTTCAGGTGTCACTCTGTGCTGGTAATGGGTGCAAGTACCAGGGGACAGAGCAGCGATGTCGGAGCTGTAAGCAGTGCGTATCTTTGGGTGCTTGTTTGTATTTTCTTTCAGATGAGTAGTGCTAAGTCTCTTTTGGACCCCTTCGTCTCCTTCCATCTCTCAAGTCCTAGAAAATTGGAGGAGTGCCATGCATGCAGGGAAGTGGTCCTCTGCAGCTGGATGAGGGCACTGTCTTCTCAAAGCAGTGGAGGTTGTCAGAGCTGTCCCGCTTTTTTCCCCTCTAGGTCAGGAGTCAGCTGAGAACTTATCCAGCAATGTCTGGTTTGGGCTATCTTCACAGCTTGCTCTGATTTGTTTCCTTCCATTCCTAGAGATGAGGCATCTCTAAGGATTCTCACCTTCTGTCTTTCTCAGTTCTTCTCACCTGCTTAGTTTTATGTGACTTTGCCTACCTCACCTGTGTACCGTGATGCTGCTTCTATTTATGCTTCTGCAGCCCAGTCACAGTCCAACGCTGGAGAAGGTGCTTTTGGGAATGCCTGTGCATCCAGGAGCACTGTGGAGTCCTCGGGGCTGCCCAAGTCGCTGCCTCAACAGAGGCCATGTGTCCTTAGTGAAAAGGGTCACTGTCCTAGTCAGCTCCTGCATGTTTCACATCTGTTTTTCCTTGGCAGTGTTTGTTGTTTCTGCTCTGCGTGCTTGTTCCTCTTGGGCAGCAGCCGCTCCGGTGACTGGGCTGGCTCCTTCTCCTGGCTAGTTTCAGTTGGTGCAATTTTTTTGTCTAGGGGAGCTGTCTCCTGGACTCTGCATCAGGAGAGGGGTGCTTCTAGGGAGCAGCGGGATAAAACCTTGTGTTAGACTGGTAGCAGTTTTGGTAGGGGTTTCTTGACCATTTTTCTCCATCAGCCTGTCCTTTGCTTGCACCAGTCACCC